TAATCTATATGGCGTTGAAAAAGATATACCTTCATAAGTTGTAACACTTTTCCATTGATTATTTATTTTTTAAATCTTCCCTTTTTGTTTTTTTTTAAATATATTTTTTTATTTACAGCTTCTTATATTGTATTCTACAATATTGTACAATTACAAATTGTATATTGTACAATGTATATTGTATATTGTAATGTATATGTATATTGTATATTGTATATTGTAAATGAGCAATGTATATTGTATATTGTAAATTGTATATTGTACAATCTACAATACAAATTGTATATTGTATTCTATTGACTTTCTAAATTACGCTTTATTTCAAAAATGTGGTGGAAAAGAGAAGAAATTTGTGTAGATTTTATTCAATTACATGTAAATATATGTAATATTTGAATATGTATTTTTGAATAAAGCAAGTTTTATCTCTTTCTTTAATCATACCTAGCTATTTTAACTAAACTAAACTGAAAAAGTTCTAAATAGTCTAAGTATAGACTATGAATAGATTTAATATCCATAATATACCTTGATAATGTACAGCAACACTAATGTACATGCAAAGTACGTTTTGATGGTGATCATATTTTGACGCACATAGCACGTTTACATAAATATATACTTTTTAAAATACATAGCACGTTTTGATGGTAAAAAAGTGTTTTACAGCCGTTTAACGTTGATAAATTAACGTTAAAAAAACTATCATTTTAAACGTTGTATCAACGTAAATTCAACGTTGTTGTACGTTTTTTCGCGTCGAATCAACGTTGATAAATCAACGTTGAAAAAAATTTTCATTCTAAACGTTAAATCAACGTTAATTCAACGTTATTGTAACGTTTTTTCGCGTTGAATCAATGTTGATATAACGTTTGAACCTAACGTTGATTTAACGTTGATAAATCAACGTTGAAAAAACTTTCATTCTAAACGTTAAACCAACGTTAATTCAACGTTAGGTTTTAACGATATTTCAACGTTATTTGCCGGCTGGGTAGCAGCATTCACTTGCATGTTTTACCTTAATCAGTCTTACATTTCTCCCTAAATCTGTATGATATCTGGTCTCTGTTTTTTAAAAAATGAAAACCTCATTTTGAGTCATTGTATCTTTCGCTTACCAATTTGAGCATGCTCATATTACGCAAAAATGGCATCTTTTAATAAGGTCAAAACTAAATGTTTGTATGCATAGTTTTTCAAACAAAAATGGATTGGATTTTTAGTTAACATATTTTTCTTTATAAAAAAACCAATTTCATTATTTTAGCACCATAATTTCGCGCCACAGATTAATTCATGCGTGATGTTATTACTTTAACAAAGCCAAAAATTAAACAGCATTTTAATTAGATAGCCGCTAATTACTACATATAAATTTACGCTAATTGTACTGATTCCTGTTATCACCACATAAAGTCGATTTAAAAAATACAAAGCAATTTTAACTTCACTGCTTGCATCTAAGAAATAGTTTAAGTATGGTCATATTACCAAGGTCTACCCTATATATATATATATATATATATATATATATATATATATATATATATATATATATATATATATATATATATATATATATATATATATATATATATATATATATATATATATATATATATATATATATATATATATATATATATATATATATATATATATATATATATATATAGGGTAGACCTTGGTAATATGAGCATACTTAAACTATTTCTTAGATGCAAGCAGTGAAGTTAAAATTGCTTTGTATTTTTTGAATCGACTTTATGTGGTGATAACAGGAATCAGTACAATTAGCGTAAATTTATATGTAGTAATTAGCGGCTATATATATATATATATATATATATATATATATATATATATATATATATATATATATATATACATATATATATATATATATATATATATATATATATATATATATATATATATATCTAGATATACATTTATATATATATATATATATATATATATATATATATATATATATATATATATATATATATATATATATATATATATATATATATATATATAAATATATATATATATATATATATATATATATAAATATATATATATATATATATATATATATATATATATATGTATATATATATATATATATATATATATATATATATATATATATATATATATATATATATATATATATATATATATATATATATATATATATATATATAATAATTATGAAAGCCTTTTTTTAAATTCTTTATGTATAAATATATTATAAATTTAGTAACTCAGATTTAAAATAAAAACAGTTAGTCGACATAAGGATATGAAACTAATCGCACACAAAAAAAGATTAAACTTTGTGTCAAAGTTTTAAAAAATTTTACGTTTTCAAAATTATTTCCAGCGTCCCCAGCGGTCATTGGAAACCTTGAAAACCTGGAAAAATCCTGGTATATGATAGGGCCTGAAAAAGTCTTAGAAAAATACCGCATTCAGCAATAATTCCTGGAAATCCTTGAACTATTTTTTAAAATAGTTCAATATTCTGTTATTGTGTTTTACTTTTACAAAGTTTATTTTGTTATTTTTCGTTTTCATATTTTTTCATAAACCAATATATATTATTTTTCTCTTGTCACGAAAAGATTAATATATCTCTGAAAAACCCTAAATTTTCCTTGAAAATCCTGGAAATATCTTAGGATTTAGAATTAGTTTTTGGGTTGCCACCCTGATGTCACATTTTTAACAAAACTATAAAATTTTATTTTTCAAGTCCACCCGAGAACTTTAAAACGCGAGAAAGGATTTACCCTGAGCTCACACATGCGCGATAACATTATTTTGTGCTCAGAATTTTCAGTTACAATTGGTATTTTGATTTCGTTAGGCCGGTATTGTTTGAATGTTTAAAATGGAGAGTGACATGGGGACGGGTGTTTGTCCCCATTCCCATCCCGTTTATCGAATTATGTCCCCATCTTCACCCCGTTACCACAGAGGTAGTCTCCATTGTCACCCCATTACCGCAGAAGTTATCCCCATCCCTACCCTATTCCCACATTCCTAGTAGGTTTCCCCGCGTGTTAACCCAAGCGAAATTATTATTTCTATCAAATATTATAACATATTGTAGTATTCCTTTTAATACAAATATATAATTTCACTTTTTAATTTTTCATTTTCTCATTATTAGTTTTTCTATGTCTCGTTTGTTCAAAAGCAAAGAAGTCGTATTGAAAATTAATTTTTGAAGCATGTATAAAAAATGACATTACCGTAACGCGGTATTACCGCAAACATCGTCCCCATTACCGCGGTATTACCCTCTGATCGGAAGAAAATTGAATTAGCATGAAAGAAAAACAACACTCCGATACCACAATCGATGTAACCAGTAAATAGCGCCAATATGGCTATAACGAACTAAATAACAATTATATGACGACTATTTGAACAATAGTGTTTTTTTGTTATTGAACGAAGTTTTTGTATAAATAGAGTTTTTCATATACAATAATATAAAGATTATAAGTGATATAGTTAATGTAAAAACGGTTAAGATCTTAAAAACATAAGTTATAATTAGGGGTGTGAGGTCGTAAAAAAAAATAACGACTCCGACTCCAGTTGTTTAAATTTTTTGAGTACAACTCCGACTCCGACTCTAACTCCAAAGCAAAATTTTGAAAAATTAATTGAATTTTTTAAAAAATATTGCGCGATAAGACTTTTTTGACAAATTTATGCAACGTTCTTTGAGGTTTAGTATGAACATAAGGTTAATTGAATGTTTTGTACATACACGTGCAATACCAAGAAATATTACTACCGGAGTCGGAGTCGCGATATTTTTTAGCGACTCCGACTCCGACTCCGCTAAAATTGTCGCAACTCCGCAACTCCGACTCCGACTCCACAGCCCTGGTTATAATACATATTTGGTATTATTTGTGATCGCCATCGGATCATAATTGGTAGCAGAGGGTAGTTTCTTCAACACGGAAGAATGGTAAAAAGAAAAAATCAAAAATCAAATAACCAAATGGAAGATCAGTTAACCGTTCAAAATGAAGTACCTGCCTTGAACATGAAAAAAATATTGCTCAAGTCTCCGTTTACGCGAACTAAACATCAAGTTATTCAGCAACTTGGAGACGATGAAACCACTTGTAAAAACGAGTTACGCGAATTGAATAATCAATTAACAAAGACTCAAAACGAAGCTCTCAAGATAATAGTTGAATTATCAAAAAAATACGAACTTCTGGAATCAAAAGAAAATGTAGGAAAACTCAATAAAGAAATTGAAAAACTAAACTTGGGCATTCGTCATTCGCTTATGAAGCTGCAAAAGAAAGACTTGAAAGAAAACATGGCGGAACAAGGAGAAAAGTCCTTATGTATTTGGATGAACTGAACAACTTTAAATCTATGAGGCAGTAACAAACTTAAAAAAAGAAAATCAAAATAAAACAATTTCTGAAGACTTTAAAGTCTTAAGAAATTGTTTTTGAAATTCTCACACGTCGAACATCCAATTTCATTCAAATCACGTTATGAACTACATATCTCTTAGAACGGTGCCAGTTATTCTTCGTAATGGATATAAAAAAGTTGTGGTAAACGCATTGCTTAACGATGGAAGTACCAAGACATGTTTGAACTCTGATGTGGCGGTTGAGTTATCACTCCAAGGTAAAACCGAAAAAGTAACTGTAAATATGATAAATGGAAAAATTGATTCTTTCGAAACAATGCCGGTAGAATTTCAGTTGGAATCGTTGAATGGAGAAATAAAAATTACAGTGGAAGGTTTTAAAGTTGATAATGTAACTAGAAACTTTAAAGCATTAAATTGGGCAAATTTGTCAAAAAGTTGGAAACATCTAAGAAAAGTCAAATTCCCAAATATTGGACCAAACCCAATTGACATTCTAATCGGTGTGGATTGCACTGAGCTGCAATATGCAATTAAGGAAATAAAATGAGGATTTAATGAACCAATGGCTCAACTCACGCCGCTGGGATGGACATGTATTGGTGGTACTGGTAGATCCCTTCAAACCCATTTTACAAAAATAACATCTAGTACAAAGAAAATAGAAGATGCAAACAATACCATTAAAAAATTATGGGAAATTGAAAGCGACGAAAAGATGCAATTTAGAAACACAATGAGTAGCCCAGAAGACTCTACCACCTTTATTATAGTAACTAATTCGCTAAAAACAGAGAACGGAAGATATGAGCTAAAATTACCTTGGAAAGGTAATAGACATTTTTTTTTTTTTTAATTATCTTCGCTTCCAACAAGGTTGCAAGCAACCACTTATTAGTGTTGGAAGTTACTGGAAGAGAAAAGATAAAGATTGCAGAGCAAGATAATGATTGACAGACGACTTAAAATATTGCAAATTATATGAATCAGGAAAGCAAGATGAAGGAAGCGAATTCCAAAGAACTGATGTTCGAGGAAAAAAACTAGACAAATAAGAGTTTTTGGAGCACTTAGGAACAGTAACAGAACTTAATTGAGACTTAATTGAATGACGAGTAACACAAGAATGAATTTTAGTAGATGGCACAAGAGAAGCTAGCTCTTTAGAGCAGTGCCCATTATAGTATTTGAAGAAAAGAGAAAGAGAAGCAACATTACGACGATGTGACAGAGGTTGAAGGTTGGCTGCAAGAGCAGGTGTATGCAGGTATGGCAACAGTATTCCATACAAGGCTAGATTTGAGATTTATATAGAATAGAATCCAGAGTAAGAAAGTGACGAGCTCGATAAAGAGAAGCAACTTTAGAAGATGCTAATTTTGCAACGGATTTGATATGAGGTTTCCAAAAAAGATCAGAAGTAAGAGTTAATCCTAGAAGATGAAGGGAAGGAGACTCATCGAGTACATTACCGTTCATAAATATAGGAAGATCTAAATTATTGCGATAACGATTGGCCGAAAAAAATTGAGTTTTATCTGAATTAAAGTTCACCAGCCACTGCGTAGGAATATAGTTACGTCCTTAGTTTCTAGCTTCAATGCTTTGACAATCTTCTCTGCAAGTTGTAAACCGAGGACAGCTCCAAGTAATTCAAGTCTTGGTATACTAATAGATTGCAATGGGCTTACTCGGGCTTTTGACATTATGATCACACAGGTCACTTCTCCTATGTCATATAAACATTGTTGATAAGCAACAGCACCGAAGGCTTTACAAGATGCAACAAATGGTGTCAATTTTCGACTTTGATTTTTTGTCCATCATAAACATTAAGACTATCACACCATATAGTTACGTCCTTAGTTTCTAGCTTCAATGCTTTGACAATCTTCTCTGCAAGTTGTAAACCGAGGACAGCTCCAAGAATTGTGGATTGATGGAATTGAGTGGGATGATGCACTTCCAGATAGGATTGCAAATAATGTTGATCAATGGTTTCAAGAACTAAACGATCTCCCAAAATTAAACATTTCCAGATGTTTACAAACACCTTCAACAGTTACAAATAAATCACTCCACGTGTTTACGGATGCATCTTGTAAAGCCTTCGGTGCTGTTGCTTATCAACAATGTTTATATGACATAGGAGAAGTGACCTGTGTGATCATAATGTCAAAAGCCCGAGTAAGCCCATTGCAATCTATTAGTATACCAAGACTTGAATTACTTGGAGCTGTCCTCGGTTTACAACTTGCAGAGAAGATTGTCAAAGCATTGAAGCTAGAAACTAAGGACGTAACTATATGGTGTGATAGTCTTAATGTTTATGATGGACAAAAAATCAAAGTCGAAAATTGACACCATTTGTTGCCAACCACGTTATTCATTCAATCAAAGACTGAACTAAAACAATGCAGATACATACCAACAAAAACTAATATAGCTAATTTACTAACAAGAGGAACAACAGTTAAAGAATTAGAAAGTAATAATGTATGGTGGCATGGACCAAGTTTCCTTAATTATTTAGAAGAAAAATGGCCACAGAACCACATTGAAGTCACACAAGAGGCTTTAATTGAAGTAAAGAAAAATCCAGTATTAATGAATTTTGCATTATCCACTGAAGTAACAAAGCAATGGCTTGATATAAATAAGTTCTCAAGTTGGAAAAGACTCATCAGGATAAAAGGCTGGATCCATCGGTTTATAAGAAACTGCCGATTGGAAACAGGTTTTCGTAAAAAGGGTGATATAGCAGCTGATGAATATCATGAAAGCGAAAATGAAATCATAGCTAATGCTCAAAAAGAAAGCTTTGAAGAAGAATATAGCAACATTGAAAAAGAAAAACCGATATTGATATCAAGCAAAATCATTTCTTTAAATCCGCAAATTAACGAAGACGGATTATTGCGATCTTGTAGTCGATTGCAAAATGCCCATTACTTATCCTACGATGTTAAGCATTCATCCATTTTTCCGAGAGGACATAAAATAACAAAATTGATTGTTAAACATTACCATGACGAAGCCAATCATGTGATGGGAACAAATCAATTATTAACAAAACTATTAGAACGATATTGGGTAATACGAGGACGAGTAGAAATCCGAGATGCAGAAGCAAAATACAACAAATGTAAATTAAGAAAATGTAAACCTGCTCAACAGCTGATGGCCCTTTTACCACCAATGCGCTTTAAAGAACCACTACGTGAGTTTGCTAGAATTGGTATCAATTTTGCTGGTCCATTTCTTACTATGCAAGGTAGAGGGAAGATACGACAAAAGAGATACTTGTGTTTGTTTACCTGTTTACTATCACGAGCAGTACATCTTGATATCGCTTATAATCTAGATACAAATTCATTCCTCAATGCCTTTTATCGAATGGTGAATAGAAGAAGATTACCATTAGAAGTTTAGAAGTTTTAACGGGCAATGGAACATATTTTGTTGGAGGATGTCGAGAACTAAACGAAATTATCAACGACTTAGATAAGGATAAAATTACTAACTCTACAGCTGATAAAGAAATCAAGTAGGACTTTAATGCTCTGCTAGGACCTAATTTTGGCGGTGTATTTAAAATAATGGTCAAGGCTGTCAAACGTGTAGTGACTAGGATACTCGAAAAAGCCGATATTACAGAACTACGAAAGTAATTCTGTAATATCGGAAAGTAATTCTGTAATATCTGATTATTGTAATAACTAAGGCCGCTTAGTAGAATTACGAAAGTCTTTAAAGGTAAAGATGGACGTGTAAGAGTTGTGAAAGTCAAAATTGGCGAAAAAGAATTTATAAAATCAATTACGAAATTGCGTCTTCTTGAGTTTGATAATTAAGAATGTATGATAGACTGGAGTCAACAAAGAGGGGGAGAATAATTGAAAGAAAATTGAATAAGCATAAAAGAAAAACAACATTCCAATTCAACGATCGATATAACCAGTAAATAGCGTCAATATGGCTATAACGAACTAAATACCAATTATATGGCTATTTGAACAACAGTGTTTTTTGTTATTGAACAAAGTTTTTGTATGAACAGAGTTTTATTGTTGTTGTTTTTCAGATACAAAAATATAAAGAATATAAGTGATATAGTTAATGTAAAAACGGTTATGATCTTAAAAATCTAATATATAATACATATTCGGTATTATTTGTGATCGCCATCGGATCACCCTCACTTATTTTGAAACTGCCCCCATTACCGCGGTAAAAACCGTAATTTACCCCGCGGTATTACCGCGGTAACCGTCACGATGTCACTGTCTAGTTTAAAACTTAAACATTTTGGACGTACATGATACGCTTCTAAGTGCAATAAATCGAAAAGGTATTCTAGTTTTCAGTTTTTCTATGTGGCATGTGATATTTAAGACGGATGAGATATTTTACTACTCATCTCTAGATGCTGATTACAATCATGGGCATCTCAACTTTAAACCTTTTACATAGTCGGTTAAAAAAAACTTTTGGGTTTTAAAATGTCCTCACTTAAATACAGTTTCAAATTATTTTTTATATGAAATTTCTAATTATTACAGATTGTAAAACTTTTTTTATTTTTTTGCATTTATTTGCACTATTGTTAATTTACATCAGTAGAAACCAGGTAACAAAACCAGGTCATGAACGCTTGAATTAATTACGTTCTTTTTTCTTTTTTTTTTGTAAAATTTGTTTTGTAAAATTTACCTGTTTCGAAAATGAAGAACATAAGTATCCTGAAATACAAAAAGTGGAATAGTGCAGAAAAATAGGAATTGTTTAGAAATTTCTTTTTTGGGACATATTTCGAATTTTCTAATTGAAATATATTTCGCTGCCAAAAATCCAAGAACTATTTTGAAAATTTTAGTTTGGAATTATTTCGAAATCTAATTTCAGGAATTATTTCAAAATCAGGTTTAACCTGTTATAATGACAAATGAAAAATGCAAATCAGCAAATGATGGACAAAAAAACTGTTTATTTTAATCAACTTTCATTAAACCTGTAAAATTATCATGTAAATCATTGATCACAAAATATTAAATGAAAGGTTTTATGTTCCCTTGTTCCCCAATGATCAATTGGTCCCTTACAACTTGGACAGTGTGGTATTTGGCTGATTTGAACTTGACCAATGCATTGAATGCAGAAAAGAAAATGTCTGCAAGGCATTACTAATACATTTCTGTTATTGAAAAGGCAGAAAACACATTTTTTGGGCAGCTATATGTGACTTTAATATGGGAAACCGTGTCTGGATTCTTGATTCTTAGATGCAATGTCTTTATTGTGCAAATTTTCAAAAAATTGTTATAAAACAATTTTTTGAAAATTTGTGAAAAGATTTTCAAAAAATTGTTTTAAAGCAATTTTTCATGAACAAAAATTATTATTTTAAACCACCTAAGCTTTCGTTTTTCATCCTTCTCTCTCTCTTTCTCTTGTCTATGAAATAAAAGTATTTACTTCACACAAAAATTCTGAAACAGGTAGACAAATGTCCTGAGGAAACGTTCAGTAGACCAATCTTAACTCAACAATTTTTGCTCATATATTTTTGTCTTTTGAATATAACTGTTGTCGTACTGGTCTCTCTGTATTGGCAGATTGTTTGCCTGTTGCGTAAGCTTGTTAAAAGTATGTTGAAACATGTGTTCCTGGAGCAAACACATAAACTTCTAGAAGCCTTTATGCTGATTTCCCATAGATGACTTCAGTCTTCTATTCAAAGCTTCAGAGTTATTGTTTGTTTTGTGGTTGAGGGAAAAGATACTGAACCCTTCAGGTGTAACCAACCCAAGCCAGTCTCTTTCAAAATATCTTTGAACGGCAGAAGTTTGGTTTTGACATCACCAGTGAACTGTGCCAGCTCTATGATATGTTACCGCCATGCTCTTAAAAATTTATCTGGTGGAAACATGCAGGGACTTTGTTACCTTAACCAAATTTGAGTCAAAATATTTTGAATGAAAAATAATATACGAAAATAGTGTGAATAGTTTCCTATTCACATATTTTGTTAAGGTTTAATAATATTGCTATTGTCATTGAAATATTTTGAAATGCCAACCCTTACCTATAAGTCTATTGCAATATTATTGCACTTTTTTGTCATTGTTAAATCTTTTTGTAGAATTAAAGACAATCCCTTAATTACAGAAGTGTTGAAGCAAGTATAGGAAAACTGAAGTTTCCAGCAATACCTACAGGTGCTACTGCTACAGTATTTCAAAATAAAGTACGCAGATCGTCAGAGGTGGTTTCAGTTTTTCTTTTGATTACAGACTTGCTTACAAAACTTGCATGTCTGTTAAACCACAATCGTATGCTTTAAACTTGCATGTGCATTAAACTTACATGTCTGTTGAACCACAATCATATGCACCAGTTAAAAAAAGTGTTCAAAAAATACGTTCTTCCTTTGCATTTCATAGAGCTAAAAAAACGACATTTATTACAGATATAGTCTCCACACCAAATAATGCACGAGTTTTTTCTTTCTCCTTCAATATCATGAAAATCAAGGCCATGACACATGTTTTTCGACATTTTGAACAAATCAAACTAAAATCGTTTGTTTTAATTTTAATAAGCTATATTTTCGAAATTATTCCCAAGATGCATTTCGGCCTAATTCCTATTGCGCATTTTCAGCATTATTCCTGATGCGCATTTTCGGCATTATTCCTTTTTTCCTTTTTCGTAACTGTTTCAATTTTGTTCCTTTTTTTCCTTTTCAAAATAACTCTTAAAAAAAAAATTTGATGAATTTTTTTCGAAATCGTTATATTTTTCGAAAACAGGTATGGTATCCCGAATAAAACTAATCTAGTTTTTTTGATTAACTTTTTTTTAGTGACTTTTACATTAAATTCGAATTGCTGTAATTTATTTTAGTGAATCGATTAAAATACGTTTAAATATTATTTATTCATGCAAGCTTTTGATTTTTTTTCTTTTTTATACTATCATTTACCGAATTTTAAAAAAATTTACACAAAATTACTCGAAAATACATTAAAAACGTTTGAAAATTAAATAAATGTTTAAAAAACCCTGGAGTAACTTTTCCTAAGTTTAACAAGTGCCCTTGAAATAATAATTTAACTTAAAGATCCAAAACAAAAACAAATATATTTTTGTTTTAAAGCTCTGTGCGTCGTATTCAAAGAGAGATGTACCGGAATTCAGACCGTAATTCGTGAATTTTATAACTTTTTGGTTCCGGTCGGAATAAAAAAAATTTCAGGCCGGAATGCCGGAATTTATTTTAATCTTTATTTTATAAGACATGTGACACAGACTGTATAAGTTAAATTAAAAAATCATTGTCCTACAGGGCAATGAAGAACTATAGATAAAACTAAGTAAAAAATACAAAGTTCTTAACAATTACTATGTGATTTTATTTGCAGTAATCAATTATGTAAGAGTTTTTAGAAGTTTAGGATTACTGTAGTGCAAAAAGATTTGTCATCCAGTTTTGGACAACAAACTAGCTCTTTTTTCATCAAAAATGTAACCTGACTCTGAGACTAGTATAGTCTCATTTTAAATGTGACTATACTAGTCTCAATGACTCATTAATGACATCAATAATGACTCAATAATGACTCAAGACATCAATGACTCAAGACTCAAGACATCAATAATGACTCAAGTTTAGATAATAAATTTAAAATACCGGGCTATAATCAGATTTCATTAGCGCGGAAAACAAAAAAACGCGGCGGTGATTTAATTATTTATGTAAAAGAAACCCTTCAGTATTATATTAGGCATTACATGAGTATTTCTGATGTCAATAAAGAGGTTTTAACAATTGAAATATTGAACAATAAAAGTAAAAACATTGTGATTAGCTGTTGTTATCGCCCACCTACAGGCGAAATTAAAACTTTTAGTACATTTTTACAAGATGATGTTATAAATAAAAGCAACCATGAAAAAAAATTACTTTATATATTAGGTGATCTGAATTTAAATTGCTTTGAGTATCATGTTAAAAAAGACATTAATGGGTTTTATAATGGCCTATTTGAAAATAGAGCAGTTCCTCTAATAAACAAACCAACTAGAATTACTCAAACAACAACTTCCTTAATTGATAACATTATAACCAACGATATTTTTAATAACTCGCTTAAAAAAGGCATTATTAAAAGTGATATATATGATCACTTACCTTTTTTTTTTTCAATTGATATTTATTCGAAAATTATATGTTATGAAAAAAAATCATTTAATAAACGAATTTTTCATAATAAAAACCTAGAATCTTTTAAATATCAACTATCGTTAATTAATTGGGTCATTATAAAATTTTCTGAAGACATTAATTTAATATACAAATCCTTTTTTAAAATTTTTTATAAAATTTATGACATCAATTTTCCCAAATTAGAAGTAAATTACAAATGTTAAAAAAAATTGTATCGCCATGGATTACTAAAGGTATTCTAAAATCTTCAAAAATTAAGCAAAAACTTTATATTAAATATTTAAAACAACTGAGAGTAAGACTATTTATAAAAATTACGTAAGATTATTTGAACGTCTAAGGAAAAATTCAAAAAAAATATATTTCACTAATTTACTTGAAAAATACAAATTGAACTCAAAACGCACTTAGCAACTAATAAACGAAATTACTGGTAACACTAAAAAAAAATGTCGCAATCTTTGCTCTCAGTTATTAAAGTAGATGATAATCTTCTCCTTGATCAAAAATCAATTGCTTCTGAATTTAATGAATATTTTGTATCTGTAGGACCAAACCTAGCCGAAAAAATTCGGAACCCTAAAAAATTAATAAAAGCAACATATGACCCTCTAAACTCGTATCTAAATTCTTTTGATTTGTCTTTTGAAGAGTTTGAAAGTGCTTTTAAATTGTTAAAGTCAAATAAAGCAGTTGGTCCTGATGATGTCAACGGAAATATTATTATAAGCTGTTTTGACGTTTTAAAAAACATACTGTTCCAAATATTTAAATGCTCTATTAATCAGGGAGTTTTTCCTGATGATTTAAAAATAGCAAAAATTATTCCTATATTTAAAGAAGGAGAAAAAACTAATGTAAAACACTACCGTCCAATTTCCATCCTCTCTGTTTTTTCTAAAATTTTAGAAAGAATTTTGTACAACAGAATATACAATCACCTTTTAACAAACAAATTATTATATAACATGCAATATGGATTCAAAAAAAATAATTCAACAGAGCATGCAATTATTCAGCTTACAAGAAGTATATCAGACTTATTTAACAATTCTAAGTTTACATTGGGAATATTTATTGATTTAGCGAAAGCGTTTGATACAATTGATCATAAAATTCTTATTAAAAAATTAGAATATTATGGTATAATAGGCAATGTTTTAAAATGTTTGAAAAGTTATTTAACTAATTGTAAACAATTTGTTTATGCTGATAAATCATTTTCATCAAATTTGTTAAATATTACATGTGGAGTTCCTCAAGGATCCATATTAGGACCTCTTCTATTCCTTATTTATATTAATGATCTATACAAAGCCTCGAATTTAATAACAATTATGTTTGCTGATGACACTAATTTATTTATGTCTCACAAAAACATTCCTACTTTATTTCATAATGTGAACATCGAGTTAATCAAAATATCTGACTGGTTTAAGACAAACAAACTATCCCTTAACATTGATAAAACTAAATGGATTCTTTTCCATCCTCTTACCAAAAAACATAAACTGTCAATTAACATGCCTCCACTTGTTATTGACAATATACAAATTAAAAAGTAACAGTAACTATTTTTCTAGGCGTTTGTTTAGATGAAAATACTACATGGAAAAATCACATTAAAAACTTATCAAGTAAAATTTCAAAAAGTATAGGAATATTGTACAAAGCGAGAAATGTCTTAAATAAACAAACTTTAGTACAATTATATCACTCATTTATTCAATGCCACATAAACTATACAAACATTGCTTGGGGTAGTGGAAACAAAAACAAACTTAAACCTCTTTATTGTCAGCAGAAGCATGTAGCACGTCTTATATATTTTAAAGACCGTTATACTCACGCCAAGCCTCTTTTATTTGAAATTAAAGTTTTTAATATATATGAGATTAATATTTTTAATATTCTTTGTTTTATGTTTAAATGTAAAACCAATTCATCCCCGATTTCTTTCCATAATTTGTATTCATCAAAAGATAAAAATAAATACATTTTACGCAATAATAATTTTATTAAGCAGCCCATTTTTCAAACAAATCTTTATAAATTTTGTATTGATAATCGCGGACCATTTTTATGGAATAAAATAGTTTTAAAAAATTTTACTGAGGATTTTATTAATCAAAGTAATTACTTTTCTTTTAAACAAAAGCTTAAGAACTCATTTTTACAATCGATGATTTAACAATATACTTCTGATATTTTTTGTGATCTTTATTTCTACCATTTATTTAAACATAAACTTATAAAAAGTATATGTGTATCTTTAACAACTATAATTTACATATATAATAGATATAACGCATCTTGTATTTATTATGGAGTATTTTAAGTTTCTTACTTTTGTTAACTTATTTTTATTTTTTAATCTTGCAATTATCTTTTAAATTTTAACACGAACATTTCTTAGCGGTACTCGACGACAAGACCGTATGGTCTTCTACGAGTCCCCGCGTTCTTTTATTTTCTAATAACAACCATTAGATTTATATATAAATTTATTATTATATATTTGTATTCGAAATATTGTAACGAAATGCTTATTTTACATGTAATAAAAAAAACGAAAAAAAAAAGAAAAAAAAAACAGCTTAAAAGGAAAATGGTCCAGTTCGGGTGCAACTGAGCATTCTAAAACATGCCATGGTAAGTTTGATTGGTTGCACCCCAAAACATTATCTGTAGCCCCAGAATATCGAACTCGGAAAATCAGAGTGTCACTCGAAATAAGCAAGGCTAGGGTTCAACAGGAGTTGAGAAATGGTGACGTGGTTCTCAATCGGAATGACGGTGATAACGTAATAACCAAAACCTGGGGGCCATTTTTTAATAAAATCTGCTGACGTCAGTTGTTTTAAAAGTTTTTTTCTGTATTATATTATCTGTATTGTATTATATTCTGTATTATCTGTTTATATTATTTTTTTCTGTATTATATTCTGTATTATATTATGGCTTTTTAATGTTATCTTTTTAACGGTTTGTTTTTACTATAACGATTTTGTAAATATTTTGTTTATTATACCTGATGACGCTGATCACAATAGATCAGCGTCATCAGGTATAATAAACAAATATATGTATATATACTATAGGTTATAGATATATATTATGTAGGCTCTATGTTGAGATGCAGGCTTTCACTTTCAGTTTTTAAAGGTAAAAAATTACATAAGGAGTTTTCCATTAAACACATACGCTTATTATTTCAGCATCCCTACACCCTCCTCCTCCAATGCAATTTGCTATACACTTTTTTGAGTACCCTTCACCTCCCTAAAAGTACCTACGCTTTTAACCTACCTACCTAACATTTTATGATATTTAATTTCTCCTTACTTTTATAATTCTTCCAGCCCTCCATCTCATATTTGTATATACATACCCATCAAAACGTACGTACGTACGTGTACCTTATGGACGATCCCTATAGGGATCGTCCATAAGGTACACGTACGTACATGAATAGTACGTAAATTCTCATCTCGGAACATGAACACTCTCTTCTGAGCGCCAAATTCTAAATCTCTTTCGGACGCAATTGAGATTGATAATAACAATTTTTTAAATTTTCGTGGTACTATGTATTTATGTTAAATAATCCATTATTTATTTTCACTTAAAAACTGTGTATATAAATAGTGAGGAATAATAAAAAGCAATCCTCGTACTAGTCAAACGCAATAACTTTTGTAATAGTACAATTTTATAAACAAAAGAAGCCAAAATAAATATAAATAATATAGTTAAATAACATTTAAAAAGTATAGATAAGTAAAAGTAATCATAAAGTTAAAATAAAACATATAATGTAAAGAACATATAACAACAAAAAATAATTAATGATAAATTACTAATAATAAAAAGGAAAATACGACTAATATTACTTTTGATAAATAGTTTTTTTTTTAAAATGAGTTAATAAAAATAATAATAAGTTATAATAACGCAGACTAGGTAAAGTTTGGACATATATTATTAATGGATATTTTAAATCTGCCCCCTTTTGACACTAAAACAATTTTGTCTATTCTCAATATGTTGGTGGACCTGTGACCTTGATTTTAAAACAGTCAGTTGACAGTTGCTAAGGCAGAAAAAAGATTTTGTCTATTGTCAATATGTTGGTGGACCTGTGACCTTGATTTTAAAACAGTCAGTTGACAGTTGCTGAGGCAGAAAAAAGATTTTACAATAAAAAAAGTTTCTTTAGTTATTTTATGTAAAGTTTTTGATTGCTATTAAATAATTCACTTCCTTAATGCAATAAGAGCTATTGTTTTTATAAGAAAGGGTTACCTGCAGATGGTTTGGAATTTTAGTATTTGTATTATATATATGCATTACCAACAATTCGTTTAATTATTTCAATAACTCCACTAGGTTTAACTCCCAAAAGACTTTTTAAAGTTTTCCCAGGTGGTATAATCATGGTTTGTATTTTTGAATATTTTTTGTCATAAATAATAAAAAGACGCCCAGAAATCGTAAGAGAAAATCCAATTATAATAGTTTGACTGAAAAATTTGAAATTATTTTAAAAAGACTAAACTTTAGGATTTTGATTTAACAACTGTTCAAAAAGTCAAGTTCAAAAAATTTTTCCTCTATCTACAAATGCTTCACTAATTTTTTTCTTAAATGCAATGCAATGATGTTGCTGAGCATATAAGAAATATTAACAATGTTCTATAATATTGCACCGAAAGCTGCAAGTCATTTAGTTTTTAAAAATGCATGATACATTTGAAAATAAACCAAAAGAAATGTATGGGGTATCCTGCAATATGGTGACAAAAAGTTATGTTAATTTATAAAAAAGTAATAATTATTTAATCAGACCTATATAAAAATATTTGATATTAAATGTATAAAAAACATAGTACAACAAAAATGTGTTTCTTAGTTTTAATTTAATTTCTTAATTTATTTTTTTTAAGTTGAAAATTTCTTAAATTCTAATTATTTTGAGAATGCCAGTCTCTGTTGCGCAAATTTCTAAGTCAGATGCTATTACATTGAAGGGATCTGCAGAGATGATTGGCGATTTTTTGAGTAAGTATTAAAATTTTCTAATTTAAAATGGTTTGTTTTAATATTTCTTATAATATTAGCTTTTGTAAATTATTATCATCAGATTTGTTATAATGTTGAAATTTCTGAATCCAGGTATAACCTTTTTTTATTATGGTAGGTTTATGACATGACTTTTTCTTAAAATTTTAATTCATATGCATCATTGAAAAGTGCTTGAAATCAGTGTATGTGGTGAAAATGCTATCCAAAATGCATATTCCTACAAAAACTTATTAAATTTCAAGCACAGAATTTGGATAAAAAAACTCAATATTTTTATAATTTTAAAATCTAGAAACTTATTTAAAGAAATCTTTGTAATAGAAAAATCAAATTTTTCCAAAATTTCCAAAAACTTTAATTTTAATAAAACTTCAGCATTTTTGATTTTCAAAAATCAAGTTATGATTTTATCAATCTCATTATTTCAAATTTTAAATTGTAGAAACTGTGTGCAATAATTAGTGATATGCTGATACCTCATATTTTATAAAGTAAATTGAGCTTTATGACCACCTTATTTCCCCTGTTCCTCAAAATTTCGATTTTTGAGGAACAGGACAGAATAAAATCATTTTTAATTTTTGGTGGCCAACTGATTTTTAGGGTGAAAATAAGTAAGTTATAAAATAGGAGATTAAAGTTTTTTAGATTAAAATTGTTTTTTTTTTATATTTAAAGGATATGATTGGATTGGTTAATGGCATATGGTGGGTCAGGGTGTGGATTCACAAAATTTATGTAACTCTTGTGTAACTTAGGGAAACTGTATGCTGATTTAATTATTGACAAACATTTCTCACCATTTTCGTTATGGCTGCACAAAAAGTACGCTAAACTTACACAAAAAAAGCTATCAATTTTGAGTTAAATTATAAACAAATGAAAAATCATTCGGTTACATTTTTAACTAAAATAAACAAGGTAGTATAAGTGTTTCAATTGAGCAACTGTTATATATACTCAACTTTTTATGCAATTACTATAGCAACTTTTTTTTTCAAATTAAAATCTAAGAACATTGGTTAATTAGTGATAAAAAATTTAAACTAAACAAATAAAATTTAAACAACATTTTAAGGGATTTTAGGTACATTTGAAATCTTTAAAAAAATATTTATTTTTTAAGATCCAGGTTGATAAGCTTTTAAATTATTATTATTTTTTTTTGTCGTCAATAATAGGCAATACAATAAATTTAATATCAACTATTTAACAACTACAATAAATTGAGGTGGTCAAATTTCTAAAATCATATATTTTCAAATATTTTTATAAAAATACTATTAAAAATTCTATTATTAAAATACTAATTATTTTTTAGATATTAAAAAATTGCATTGTACAAAAAGATTTTAAATTTCACATTTGGACTCTAGTTTGATGTCACAAACACTAAAAAAGTCAAGGGACTCATTAATAAGTATTGAGATAATGTTATATCCTATGAAAGCTCAAACCTATAGTGTTTACTTATAATATAAACTTTAGAACCCCATAACTCTGTTCAAAGATAAAGTTAAAAAAAATATATTGCTTCTCAATTGCATGCAAAAGTATGATAAAAAACCATTCTTAGAAAAAAAAAAAAAAATTTAGTATAATTAAAATTGAAAATAATAAGTTAAAATATTAAAACAAACTTTTATTTCATTTCTAAAGTCCTCAATAAGAGCAGCAGTCTAATTTTATAATAGCACTAGTTTAAACATATAAAAAATTTTATATGCTTTATTAAACTATTTAAGTTCCAAAGAATCTATAAAATGCAAAAATTATAGTAGCCTAATATTTTTATTTACCCTTATATTTTTTTATATTTCAATGAAAATATTACTTTGAAGATTTAATTAAGCTTTAGCTTAATTAAATCTTCAAAGTAATATTTTCAAAAAAACAAAAGATGATGCTAACTCCAGTATTCTCAACCATAAACATCAGTGTACCGAAACAACAAAATTGATTTATAAACGGCTTCCTGACAGTGCACACCGTAACCAAAGAATAGCATTAGTAAATAATAACATGATTCAGCTGAACCATAAAGATTTAAAGCATTTACCGTATGATCCAAAAAGAGTGTACTAAAGATTGATATCAGATAATAAGTATGTACAAAGACGTTGGATAACCGCAAGAGTTAAAGGCTTAATTAAATATTGGCTTGATTATGTCCCTAATTACAACAAGCTCTCCTGTTTTTTCTTTATGTACATTTGTTTCAACAATTTTGTCTGCTTGGAATTTGCACAAGGTTCCACAACATATTGAATGTCTTACTTCTGAAAATGATGTCTCAAATTCACAAAACCACACAGTTTTTGCAATGTCTGTTTCCAATTTCATTTATTGCAATTACCAAATGTAGATTTATATCAAAATCATCAGAGGTTAAAACTTTTTAAGTTAACACATTTGGTACAATTAAATAGCAATAAAGAACTTGAAATTTTTTTATTTGTATGATCTATATTTGTCTTAATAGACTTCTTACAGTCAGGGCGTGTTCAAACAAAGGTAAGAAGTTGTATAATAACATCAACGACAAGCAACCACTATTAGAGTTGAAAGTTACTGGAAGAGAAAAGATGAAGTTTACAAAGCAAGATAAGGATTAACAGATTAAAAGATTGTGCAATATCAAATAAGTGAAAACACAAATTTCCTTATAATTTACAAAAAAAATTGATTAATAATGATTTTTAAATTCTTTGTAAACATGTAATAAATTCTCAGAAAAACAAGAGGAAGAGAGCAAAATCCAAAGAACTGATTTTCAAAGAAAAAAAATAGACAAATAAGAGTTTTTAGAGCACTAATGAACAGTCACAGCAAAAGTAATACAAGAATGAATTTTAGTAGATAGTACAAGAGATCAAGCTCTTTAGAGCAGAGCCCATTATAGTATTTATAGAAAATAGAAAGAGAAACAACATTACAACAATGTGATAATGGTTGGAGGTTGGCTGCAAAAACACATCCAACTATGTTTACAATGTGTTTTTGCACTATGTCTAAAAGAGAAAGGGCATCATTAGAAAATCTGTCTAGATATAAAAAAGTGGCGACCACAATAAAGAGATGCAATTTTAGCAGGTGCTAATTTTGCAATGGATTTAATATATGGTTTCTAAGAAAGATTGGAAGTAAGAGTTAATCCTGAAGATGAAGGGTAGATGTCTCATTGAGTACATTACTGTTCATAATTAGAGGATGATCTAGATTATTGTGATAACGATTAGCTGAAAAAAAATTTAGTTTTCTCTGAGTAAAGTTCATCACCCACTGAGAGCCCCATGCTTTAGCAGAAATGAGATCTTTTTCAAGCTCAAATGCCCCCTCAATGCAAGCCTAAGGCTGGAACAGATGAGAGATCAGATTAAAAATCAGCTGCTTGTTCTAACCTATCAAAGTGAAGATTTTTGTAAAGACAAAAGTATTAAATTGAACTGTCAGCAAGTATAGCCACTTTAGATGTAAAATTTTCATAAAGATTGTTATTGTAGGTAAGAAATAATACTGGAGCAAAGATAGTACCTTGTTGAACCATCAGTAAAGCGGTTTGTATTTCACAACATGTTAAGAATTCTATGCCAATTTAAAAAATATTAAAAATTTTATCAGAGGTGATCAGTTAAGGAAAATAAACTTGTTTTTTTGATACTATGTATTTAACTTATGTTACATCACCTATGTTACCAAGTGATATTATTTGTGGATTTTTTATATCTATTATTAAAATTTAGAGTTACATAACAAAAGAGTTGCAAAAGTATTGAACTCATTCATTAAGAGCAACTTTAAAAAATTATTTTAGTATCACAACTTTATTAATAATTATTTGAGTCGTTTAAATAAGAAAATCTTTTATCTAAGTTTTTACTTACACTCCTTACGTTTATAAGTATTGCCTTATCTTCATAAGGTTGAATTTGCAAATATACTGCAAAGTATTTACATTTAAATCTTTTTAAATATTTATGACGAAAAAACTGCTATCACAGTTTAGGAGGGAGAGGGGTTCAGGTATACGTGATAATTTTTGATAGGAGGGAAGGGGTCAAGAATTGACAAAAATATAGTGACATGCTTCATGGATGACCCCACTTAATTGCATTTACAAACTATTTGTTTTACTTACACAAAAAACAAAAAAGGGTCTAACTGATTTCTTTAATATCAGGAGAGAAACAAATAATTTTTTTTTTTTTAATGTCTTAATACAATTACTTATTTAATTCTTATTTTTATTTATTTATTTGTATATGTCAACTAAAATAAGATTTCATAAACAAATAAAAAAGCAATAATATAAATAATTTTATTTAACATTAAAAACTTTTTCTTCTAAATTCTCTTAATATAAAAAGTTTGAGTAAGAATCTTGTAATACCAAAGCGAATTACTTAATGACGTACCGTGATTCGAAGTGAATAGGGACAGTTTTTGTCTTATCTATTCTTTTCTAAACTTATAGTTTATTATTTATTTTAGTTTTAATTTTTTTTTTTTTATTCTAGTTTTAGTTGAATTATTTATGTTTATTTATTTTTTGTAATTATTTTTTTTTTGAAGGAGTATTTTCTTTCTATAGGATAATTTTTTTAAAGTTTCTTTATAGTTAAGTTAAGATAATTTTTCAGCTCATTTTAAAAATGCTTACAAATATTCCAAACACCTTAACCGTCGTGGTCAAGTATTCAAAATCAAATAGTATTTGTGTGGTCATATTATAGTGTGAGATTGCATGCCTTCCTGGCTGGGCCTCTATATATAGCTCTTCATGATTTTGACATTATAAAATTATCATTATTTTATTAATTTATTTATGGATATTTATGGATTTTATTTATGGACATTTTTTTATTTTATTTTTTTATTTTATTTTTTTTTATTTTCTTTATTATTTTATTTTATTTATGGACATTTATGGATTATTTATAAACTTTTTTAAAGTACTGCAATAAATAAATTACTGC